CCATCACATGAGCATGAGCTGGCGCCTTGGTTTCTGCCTTGCCTTGTGCGATCTCGCGTGAGAACGCTGGTCTGTGGGGGGGTGAAACGTTGGCGTGGAGCACCAGAGGTGTCCTCGCGGCATCACAACATTGTTAGGAGATGGCAGCCGCGGCTAGACCTCTCGGATGCAGTAGGTCGCGGGATGTCGAGCGAGCTCCGCCAAGAAGACGGCTTCCGGTATCTGCTCTGCTCTGCGGGTACGAGCCAGGGAGTCCAACCTGAAGATCTTCTCATGGAAATATCGATATGCCACCCAGTGTGCGTTGTCCCGGTTCTGCACCGCCCCGGCAGCTGCTTCCAGATCGTGCTTGCTCACGACGGGTTGAAGGTCCATTTGCCACCTCACACGACCAAAAGCAGCCATGGCTTTGGTTTGCAGTACCTGCGCAAGCACTTCCGAGGAGTAGAAGCCACCTGGCGCCGCGTGGTCCTCTGCAGCTTCACCTCGTTCCACCCCACCTTCTTCGAGGACAACCTGCACGGCGTTGTCCATGTCCGCTTCAGTGAAGAAGGCTGCCCCCAAGGCCATGTTCAGGGCGTGCATGCCGCAGAGAGCTTGCTCTTGCGCCTCAAAATACAGGCCTGCAGGTGTGTCTTGATCGGGTCGGCTGCCTGTCCGTTGCATCTTGGCCAAAGACCCGGCCGCGCAAGAGCTTTCTGCAGCCCGTTTGCCTAGGCCCATGAAGACGAACTTTGCTTTGCATTTTGCTTTGGCCTTTGCTTTGCTTTTGGCGTTCGTCTTGGCTGGTGGCTTGGCCGGGCACTTGCGCTTATGAGCCTTGATGGCAGCTTTGGTGTTGGGAGCCTCCGTGCCGCATAGTGCACAACACCAGGGCCGCTCGATGCGCTCGCCGTGGTCTGGCTTGAGACGGTTCCAGTCGGGCGTCCCCATCTCAGCTAGTCGTCTTTCATAGAACTCCTTGTTCTGCTCCGGCTTGAACAACGCCTTCCAGAGATCCGGGCCGTCCCGGTCGGCTTGCTGCGCCTTCAGCTTGGTCAGGGCCCACTCTGCGTTGGCGTTGAACCGCAAAGCCTTGGGGTTGAAGAGCTCCAAGCTGCAGAGTGCCTGTTCGGGGCAGCGGCTCAGGGCGACGTAGGCTTGACCTTCTGCGAAGATGGTGTGATCGAGGCGGGTATGCGCTCCGTCCTTACAGGTAGCTGCCTGGCTCTTGTGGATCGAGATGGCTTTGGCGAGAACGAGCGGGAATTGATGCCTCGATGCCTTGCTGCCGTCTCTGTCAAGGTACGTGGCCGAGCGCCTCGAGATTGCCACGCAGGAGGTTTCGTGCTCTGCTCGCCAAGTGGCCCCAGCATTCTTCTCGAAAGAAACCCAGATCCTCTCGACTTCCCCGCCGGCTTTCTCGGTGTCAATGTGCTCCACCGTGCCACAGGCGCCATTGACCAAGCCATCTCGCACGTCGATGTTGTATCTGAGCATGACACGGAGCCCAATGGCCACCTGCAGCAGGCCTACCAAGCCACCCGTGTTCTCCGGCTCGGCCCAGACGGCATCTGGAGACAGCGGCACACCGGTCTTGACGTTGGTGTCGACAGCTGGGCAATCGTGTAGCTGTTCTCCTGTGTTCAAGACGTGCTCTTCCTTGTAGCGGCGGTTGCTTTCGGCGACTGCTTGGCGAGTGGCGTATAGGTTCACGGCTTTCGGGGCGGGCCGCTTCTTGCTGCCTTTCTTGATCACCATATTCCGCAGCACCTCAATGTCGGCGTCGGTCTGCTGTCCCACCCGAACGCGTGCCAGCAGAGCGGCCCAGGCTGGGTCGCGTGCGGCCCGCTGGTTTCCTTCTAACTCGCAGAGCTGGAAGAGCAGCCAAAGCCGGCTGGCGAAGGCCGGCAGCCCGCTTGGTGGAGGCAACTGATACAGGTCCCCGGCAAAGATGACGTGCAGTCCTCCGAAGGGCAGGGTTTGCAGATCTCTGGCAAGACGGAGATGCTGATCCAGACGCTCCAACATCCAGGAGGGGATGAAGCTCATCTCGTCAACGAACAGAACGCTGACCTTCGACCAGATGTCTCTGAGAGTGGCTAACTTCTGGCGGTCCGGCAGCGGCATGTCGCAGGCCTTGCCGTGGCTTTGGTTCACTACGGGGAGCAAGCAACATTGATGGAGGGTGACACCGTTGATGTTGAATGCTGCCACACCCGTGGGCGCCGCTATGATGCATCCTTTCTTGCTTTGCCGCAGGACGTGAGCTGCTGCGCGTACCACCACGGACTTGCCGCTGCCGCCGGGCCCGTGGAGGAGCATGTGCAGACGCTGAGTATTCTGCGTGTCCTTGGTGTTCGGCTGCCTCAGAACTGACTGGACGATGTGCTCCATGGCTTGGCACTGGCGCGTGGTCTCCGGGCAGGGGTTCTCAACCGTCAACATCTCGAATGATTCTTCGCCTTCCTCGACCGGCGCAAAGGCATTGAGGGCAGCTCCGGTGGGCACAGAGTCCGGGGCCAGGAAGTCGATGTCTCCTCCATACCGCTCCTTCAGTGCCTCCAATATTTGCAAGGAATCCTTGTAGTTCTCCTCGGCAACCTTGCTGTTGGCCCAGCCGTCCCGCAGGTTTGCCGGATGCATCTTGGCCTTCATGTACATCGTCGCTTGTACGGCCTGCAGCTTGCGGGCGGCGTCGACGGTGCCATCTAGCTGAGGGAAGCATCTCGACCGAAGGAAGTCTGGGTGGCCGCGCACGTCTCGGGCGATGCGCTGGAACGCTGCTGCATGGCTTCCTGCATCCTGCTCCAACAGCCAATCTCCAGGTTCCTTCCACACCAGGTGCAGCAGCAACTTGGAGTAGTAGAAAGCTTCGGCCTCCTCGTCCGGGTTGAAGTTCTGGTAGCCGACGATTGCAGGGCGCCTGCGAGGCTGTGGTTCTTGCACGCCGATGTACTTGAAAGCCGCGCAAAAGTCCAGGAAGGTGACTTCACTAAACCGACAGGAAACCGGCTCCCTGCCTTCCACTGGCAAGGTCGTCTCATGTTCACCGAAGGTGGTTTGCATTTCCCGGTACCAGTGATGAGCAACAGGCAGGTTCCCACCTTGGCGCATCTTCTTGTTGCGGTAGTCAGTGGGCTGCTGCAAGGCCACCTGTTCCTCATGCTTGGGCACCCACACTGTCCAGGTGTCTGGAGGCCCCACCTGTACCCAGACGTTGTCCCTGGAGAATTCGATGATCGGGAAGCCCAGCAGAAGGTGGCATGCCTCGAAGGTCGACGTGGTCCTGCCCTGCAACGCCGCGTGGGCTGCCTTGTAGATCTTCTGATTGTCGAGGCCGGCGCCTGCGCTCTGACTTGTTAGGATGGCAAGGATGTTTTCCATTCGCCGCTGCGCTTCGCGATCCTCCTCCGACTTGAAAGTGTAGCCCAGTATGTACCGACTGGCGCTGGTGAGCTCGCAGATGACCTGCAGGTCCATGCTTGCCCTCCACCTTCTCAAGATTCGAATGTTGTACTGTCCCATCATGCTGTCTCCCTTCACTCGTCTCGTCGCAAGGCTGCTCTTCCAGCGGCTGTTGGCGTACTGCTCCTGCGATGTTCGACGCCGAGTCCGGGGCTCTGCATCATGTGGAAATCCAAATCGACAGGCGCCTTCTGAGTACATGCCGCAATATGGCGTGTGGTTGTGCACCACCTCTGCGGACAGCTTTGCGTTCACTTCTCTATCTCTGGGTGGTACGCGGTGGGATTGGCGCCACGTGTTCGGGGACTTGGTGCAGATGTACTTGTCGCTGAGGTCCTCCGCACACTTGGGGATGAAGTTCTCCATGGCCTCTTCGTCAGACCAGTCTGGAACCGGTGTCTCTGCTGCTTGTTCGGAGTCTTCGCCGTCGGGCGCCATCTTGTCTGGCTGCTGCGTTGCTTTGGCCCACTCTTCGATCCAAAGCAGGATGTGAGCGTGGGGGTAGCCCCGCTTTTGCCATTCTATGCGAATGATGTAGTCCAACACTTTGAAAGGAGGCCGTTCCTTGCGCATGCGGCGATGAAGGCCTGCAAAATCCGTGGCGGGTGCCTGGGCGTCGTCCTCCACGTCCTCGCAGTCGTTCTCCTCGACTCCATCTTGTGGATCAGCATCTTCGTGCAGGTGGACTTTCGGACCGCGCGTGCTGGACAGCCACCACATCAGCTGAGAGACTTGGTGCATGAATTGTCGCGCTACCACTGCCGGCTGCTGGTTGCACAACTGGTTGGGCGACAACCCATCCCAAGTGAAGTTCTTGTCATTCTGGTAGCGGAATAGGATCTCCGCAGCGTGCTGCTCCAGTTCTGCCTGAGGGCGGTCGGGATGCAGCCGCAGCAGCCGTGCCGAGATAGCCGCGAGGAGCAACGCAGGCTGGCGCGCGTGGCAGGACAGTGTCATGAAGAAGTTGGGAGCGCCAAGCTGCTCGTACATGTTGAGCGCCACTCCCTTCTTGGCGTACAGGTACGGCTGCGTGCCAGGCATGTCCCGCAAGGCAGCATACACCTGACGGCTACCGTTCTCGTAGTCGCTACTGCCGTAGGGCACCCGCTGGTTGCCGATCCGGACGTTGATGTTTCCGGAAAGTCGCTTCTTGGTCTGCATCTCCAGCAGCCACATGATGTAGGCCGTGGACGCTTCGAAGCGGGAATCCAGGCTCAGCAGACGCTTCCGGGCATATTGGGAAAAGCTTCCGTTGTCGTTCTTCCAGCCTCCTGTGCCGGTGGGAAACAAGTGTGGGAAGAATTTTGCATCCATGCCATCGCTGAGGTCTGCGGATCCTCGCACTTTTCGCAAATCTTGTACGTCGGCTTTTGGGGCCTGGAATTGCTTCGGCACCAGGTATGTCATCTCGATCTCTTGGTTTGCTTCTGTTCCCGCAAGTGGGTCTGTTGGCACCGCAGCCGCAGCGGATGTCTTGTTGGCGAGGATGGCAGCCATTCTCGCCAGAGCTCTGTCCACTGCCGGGCTCCGTTGATAGAGGCAGTGCAGTTCCTTCAAGGCCTGCAAGGCCGCGTGTAGGTGCTCCAAACGCGCTGGTGATGCGGTCATGCCGTCCACGCCCTCGACCAGCACTGTACCGTCTTCTTCCAAAGTGGCGCCTTCGAGGACGTCGCAGATGAAAGGATCCTGCATGAGCACTGCGTACATGCGACCCCACTGCGCGCTCGGGCCGCCTGATGGCAGCTTGTCCAACAAGACCTGCGAGATGCGTGCCATGGCGAGGAGATGCTGCTCGATGGGTTGCAGACTTTGCAGTGCTTCTGGGATGGGGGCCGGGATTGGCAAAACCACCTTGGTGCGATTCTCGCGGCAATTCCTGCAGAGCAGCTGGCCACTTCCTTTGGCTGTTCTGCAGTGCCTCCCTGGTGTTAGAGTCTGGCACTTCTGGCACACGCGAGAAAGGCCAAATCTACTCCAGCTCCGCGCAAAAGCCAAGTAATGGGCTTGTGCCTGCTCCTGGGTCAAGGTGTCCTCGTCTGGAAAAGGGTAGCCCTGCTGCTGAATCTCCGAGGCGATGGGCCTGGGCCCTCGGCCGCCCACTCCCTCCTCTGCCTTTGCCCGCTCCCTTGCCTCACGCAGCTGTCGGCGCTCTGCTTCTTTGCTGTCTTCTTCCCGCAAAGGTCCACGGCCGCCCGCTTCCTCCTCTGACTTTGCCCGCGCCCTTGCCTCACGCAGCTGTCGGCGCTCTTCCCTTTTGCCGTCTTCTTCCCGCAAAGGTCCACGGCCGCCCGCTTCCTCCTCTGCCTTTGCCCGCTCCCTTGCCTCACGCAGCTGTCGGCGCTCTGCTTCTTTGCTGTCTTCTTCCCGCAAAGGTCCACGGCCGCCCGCTTCCTCCTCTGCCTTTGCCCGTGCCCTTGCCTCACGCAGCTGTCGGCGCTCTTCCCTTTTGCCGTCTTCTTCCCGCAAAGGTCCACGGCCGCCCGCTTCCTCCTCTGCCTTTGCCCGCGCCCTTGCCTCATGCAGCTGTCGGCGCTCTGCTTCTTTGCTGTCTTCTTCCCGCAAAGGTCCACGGCCGCCCGCTTCCTCCTCTGCCTTTGCCCGCGCCCTTGCCTCACGCAGCTGTCGGCGCTCTGCTTCTTTGCTGTCTTCTTCACGCAAAGGTCCACGGCCGCCTGCTTCCTCCTCTGCCTTTGCCCGCGCCCTTTCCTCATGCAGCTGTCGGCGCTCTGCCTTTCTGCTGTTCTCTTCGCGCAAGGGTCCACGACTGCCCGCTCCCTGCGCTGCCCGTTGTTGCTGCCAAACAATTTTCTCTGCGCTCTTCTGGGCCAGGCACTCCTCTTTTTCGGCTTGGCGGCACTGCGGATTGCTGCACCATCCCTGTCCTCTGCCGCTCCTTGTCCCGAAGCCGCACCGATGACAAGGGGCCATGGCAACGAATCCTGAATCCTCAGATTTTGCACCTAGGGGCTGTATCCGAAACACTGCAGCAGGCTCAGTGAAGCAACTTGAGAAGCCATGCTCGAGCACTTACAAAGCTGTCCTGCCTTTGCTCGCTGCTCAGTTTCTTTCTCGTGGCACACACTGGAGCTCTGCAGGCTTGTCTTGCTGAGACATAACGTACTCACATGGGCAGCTCTACGGGCCTGTGGCTTTCTCTGAGATGTAGACAACTTGCACGTGCACGACGTCGTTGCTCAAGCTGTGACCCAACAGTTCACGCCAGCTCCAGGTGTCTGTGATCACGCCCCCGCCCAAGACCAGCTTCGTGGTGTCGAGGGGGATGGGTCCTGCAGGACCGCTGTCCAAATCGTGAAGCAAGACTTCCCTGGCGCTGCGATATTGCAGCGTTTCCGCCGGGATAGGCTTCTTAATTTCTTGTCGTCTGAGACGTAGTTGGCGCAGGGAGAGACGGCGATCTGGGCTGTTTCCTTCGTGCAAAGTGTGCAGCCAGGCTTCCCGGAAAGACTCGCACGGTTCGACATGGCAGAGTGGATAAGGCTTCGAGGTGTGGATTTCGCTACCTTGCATGTTCAGGTACTTCACCGTCATGTTGGCGAGACGCTGGCGGTATTCATTCTGGATTTCCATTTCTTTGCTCCACTGTACTCTCTCACGCGCATCTTCCTCGGCTTCGCGCTGCATCTCACTGTCGACCCAGTCCCAGTCGTCGAACCCGTCCTCGAAGTCCGCCTGTTCGGAGTCGCGAATCGAGTGGTCTCTGCTCTCCAAGTCCTCGCACGTGTCTTCGAGCATGCTGTCGCACCAGTCGACCTGAGAAACAAGACAGCGGCCATGTTCCAAAAACGAAACGAACAGCTGCGACGATTGAGATTTGTACCCCAATGGTTGCCTGGCCGCAGCGGGACACGGATGAAGACTTTAAAACGATTCGAATTGAGCCCAAGCGCGCTGCACAAGCAACAAAAAGCACGGGAAGGCTCGGCCGTCCCTACCTTCTCACAAGCTCAAGAAAGAGGTGCAACATGGCTCAACAATGCACAGAAGAAGCGAGTAGCCCATGACCGGCCGTTTCTGTGGAATTTTGAGAGTCAGAGCGAATGAAGATTGGCGTGAAACAGATGTTCTGCCAGCGACTGCTTGTGCCGTAGCCTGCATCGCGGCAGCTTTTCTAAGAGAAGAAACGGTCCGGCCACTGGCTGCTCTTCTGGCTGCCATCGTCCGTTGATCAGGATTGCCAGATGCGTCTGCCGCGACAGTGCTTCGTGACTATGGGCTTCAGATCCCATGGCTGAGATGACGTCGCCGACCGTGACGTTCTGAAGGGCCTAGAAGCTCACAGGTCGAAACAGCATGGCAATACGGTATTTGTGGGCTTCCGGTTCATTCAGCCCAGCAGCTGTCCAGCGCACAGAGCCTGCGACGTGGCCGGCCATGGTCCGCAAATTTGCGATCGGGCCACCGTCCCACTTCAGCTCGCAGTTCAGGCCCCCCAACAGCCGCAGCGGTTGGCCATTGCAACTCGCATCAGTTGAGCTGAGAAACAAGGGATGCGAAAATGCTCTCAAGACCTTTTGCGGTGACAGAGGCTTGCGCCCGAAATGGCTGTGGATGAAGACTTAAGGCTGTTCATATTGAGCCAAAGCGCACGGTGTGAGCGGTAAACGCTGGCCCCTATTCAGGTTGAGGCAAGCAAACAGGAATTGCTGGTGTCAGGACTTTGTGTTGACTGAAGCGACTCGGCTGCACCCCATTCTGGTTGAGCATAAGCACCTGGCACATGGCCCCCATTCAGGTTGAGGACAAGCAAACGTGGTTCTCCTTCATAAAATGCACCAGCGTAAGGGTTTCCAGCTCTTGGAAGGCCTTGCCAGGTAGTTCTCTTTCATAGAATGCACCAGGATAAGGATTTCCAGCTCTTGGAAGGCCTTGCCAGGTAGTTCTCCTTCATAAATGCACCAGGATAAGGATTTCCAGCTCTTGGAAGGCCTTGCCAGGTAGTTCTCCTTCATAAAATGCACCAGAATAAGGATTTCCAGTTCTTGGAAGGCCTTGCCAGGTAGTTCTCCTTCATAAAATGCACCAGGATAAGGATTTCCAGCTCTTGGAAGGCCTTGCCTTTTCCAGCTCGCGGAAGGCCTTTCCAGGTAGCTCTTTCATAAAATGCACCAGGATAAGGATTTCCAGCTCGCGGAAGGCCTTTCCAGGTAGTTCTCCTTCATAAAATGCACCGGATAAGGATTTCCAGGTCGCGGAAGGCCTTTCCAGGTAGTTCTCCTTCATAAAATGCACCAGGATAAGGATTTCCAGCTCTTGGAAGGCCTTTCCAGGTAGTTCTCCTTCATAAAATGCACCGGATAAGGATTTCCAGCTCGCGGAAGGCTTTTCCAGGTAGTTCTCCTTCATAAAATGCACCAGGATAAGCATTTCCAGCTCGCGGAAGGCCTTTCCAAGTAGTTCTTCTTCAGAAAAAAGCACCAGGATAAGGATTTCCAGCTCGCGGAAAGCCTTTCCAGGTAGTTCTCCTTCATAAAATGCACCAGGATAAGGATTTCCAGCTCGCGGAAGGCATTTCCAGGTAGTTCTCTTTCATAAAATGCACCAGGATAACGATTTCCAGCTCGCAGAAGGCCTTTCCAGGTAGTTCTCCTTCATAAAATGCACCAGGATAAGGATTTCCAGCTTGCGGAAGGCCTTTCCAGGTAGTTCTCCTTCATAAAATGCACCAGGATAAGGATTTCCCTTTCCAGGTAGTTATCCTTCATAAAATGCACCAGGATAAGGATTTCCAGCTCTTGGAAGGCCTTTCCAGGTAGTTCTCCTTCATAAAATGCACCAGGATAAGCATTTCCAGCTCGCGGAAGGCCTTTCCAAGTAGTTCTTCTTCAGAAAAAAGCACCAGGATAAGATTTCCAGCTCGCGGAAAGCCTTTCCAGGTAGTTCTCCTTCATAAAATGCACCAGGATAAGGATTTCCAGCTCGCGGAAGGCATTTCCAGGTAGTTCTCTTTCATAAAATGCACCAGGATAAGGATTTCCAGCTCGCAGAAGGCCTTACCAGGTGGTTCTCCTTCATAAAATGCACCAGGATAAGGATTTCCAGCTCGCGGAAGGCCTTTCCAGGTAGTTCTCCTTCATAAAATGCACCAGGATAAGAGCCTTTCCAGGTAGTTCTCCTTCATAAAATGCACCAGGATAAGGATTTCCAGCTCTCGGAAGGCCTTGCCAGTTAGTTCTCCTTCATAAAATGCACCAGAATAAGGATTTCCAGTTCTTGGAAGGCCTTGCCAGGTCGTTCTCCTTCATAAAATGCACCAGGATAAGGATTTCCAGCTCTTGGAAGGCCTTGCCAGGTTGTTCTCCTTCATAAAATGCACCAGGATAAGGATTTCCAGCTCTTGGAAGGCCTTGCCAGGTAGTTCTCCTTCATAAAATGCACCAGGATAAGGGTTTCCAGCTCTTGCAAGGCCTTGCCAGGTAGTTCTCCTTCATAAAATGCACCAGGATAAGGATTTCCAGCTCTTGGACGAGGTAGTTCTCCTTCATAAAATGCACCAGGATAAGGATTTCCAGCTCTTGGAAGGCCTTGCCAGGTAGTTCTCCTTCATAAAATGCACCAGGATAAGGATTTCCAGCTCTTGGAAGGCCTTGCCAGGTAGTTCTCCTTCATAAAATGCACCAGGATAAGGATTTCCAGCTTTGGGAAGGCCTTGCCAGGTAGTTCTCTTCATAAAATGCACCAGCAGAAGGTTTTGGAAGGCCTTGCCAGGTAGTTCTCCTTCATGAAATGCACCAGGATAAGGCTTTCCAGCTCTTGGAAG